CTCCACCTACTCACGAGACCACCGGATGTAAGAACGGACTATAAAAACGAGAGCCACACACCCCTAGAGAGGGAATAATAATAATAATAACAGAATAAGAGTTCTGGGATGTCTCAGACCCGATTAGCGGAAAGTGTCTCATCCAGTCCTCGTACCAAAAATGCCTGAATCATTAGATCACCTCTCTATTTGTTAGTCCAGGAAACTAGCACTAGCATTTTACCTAGAACCAAACCCAATCCTTTAGCAAAATTAATTTACGATTTGTGGTGCGATAGTGATGTCTCAAATCCTTATCCTAGTTAAGGTAGGCCTTTTTTTTTATGTCTGAACTCGATTGAGACAAAAGTTTCCCATGCAGGGATTATGGTGTTCAACCACTTGAAAAAATGGAGCAGTGACAAGTGAAAACAGTCTTAAAGACAATGATGAATTTTGTGTAGTTGTAGTACCGATCATTGTACAAATCAAGGTTAGAGAAGCTTTCATGGTCGAGAATCCCAGGGTAATATTGCATAGAGGGGATGCATGTCATGATTCTCCTACTGAGTTCTGAAAGTTCAGACCGTCATCATCACAGTTCACAACACATATATTCCCCAAAGGAAAAATATCTCGTACTATAAGTCCTGGGATTTCAATTGCCAATAATACCAAAGATACGTCCATGTAGAAATATCTGCCTCAGGGCATAAGGCTGACCTCATATCGTGCATGAGCTCTAAGTTCAAAAATATGCCAATTTCTGCATGGTTAAAACTTAAAAGCCAATGAACTCCTGCATGACTATGATGGAGAATGCAGCTCTCTCGGACACACACACACACAGAGGAACGTCCTTATCCTTCCCCAGCATAAATATGGTATTACTGCACTTTGTTTTTGAGCCACGAAATATACATTTAATTTACTCCTACTAAAAGTTTCTTTTTGACTTCCCGTGGTCTCATCGAATAGTTAAATGTGCATGCATCAGAAGTTGGATGGGGACGTTGATCGAGCATTTCATGGTTCAAATTAGACAACAAGTATTTTCCCTTAATTCAAGGGTCCAATTACTTTCTTGTATGCATCGCACAAGCAAGATTATCAGTCAAGTAGTTGGAAAATAAGTCTTAACTAGTATTAAATTTGTTAAAAAAGGAAGGTGGAAGGTGGCAGAATCTGATCATGACCCTCCATTTCTGTAATTGCGTCTCGTACAATTGACAAAATGCAATTTGTTGAGGGCGCTAATCCTTTGCCAACCATGTGTTGATTCTTGGTGTTCTTTATCTCCCAAACAAGACATAGGTTTGGGTTGCTCGTGTGTAGACTGCATTTGTTTCTCAAGGTAAAAGTAAGAGCACTACATTGGCGCTATCGTTTGTCTTTGAAATTGTTGGATTGTATTTTCGTTGTTTTATGATTCAATTCTATGCATGACACAGGAAGGATAGCTTCATCACCCACAGAGCATTCTGCGATGCTTTGGCTCAGGAAAGTGCAAGACTCTCAGCAAACTCAGTACTCGCCTCAACAGCAGCAGCCACCGCCAACCCACAGCTCTTCCGTCTAAATTTCCATCAGACCACCACCACCCCATCATCCCTCTTCCCATTCCCGCCAACCCAACATGATCAACAGCAGCCCCACTTCCCAAACCCTCCTACTCCTACTCCAACTGATCATCACATTTCCCTTAACCACCCTTGGGTCGATTCTTGTCAAAACCCTAAACCTACCCAATACCCAAACCAACCACAACTTCTTCACGATATCAAGCCTGAAACCCTCCACCTTCCCATTTCTTCGCAGTTTTTATATCAAGAACCACCGCCACCAACCCACAAGAGGATCAATATCCCGTCATTAATACCTGTCCAAACCCAGCTCAATGACACTGCCGGCGTTCATCATCTCTCCGCCACCGCTCTCCTTCAAAAGGCGGCCACCCTGGGTGCACATTCTGTTGGTCACGTCAACTCTGCTATGACTCAGCTCGACATGAGCACCATTGGTCACGTCACCAATGGAATCCCGCCTGAGTACTCGGGCTTCACCACCTCCGCAAATCTTGCTGCGTGGCAAAAAAGTGACCGTCTCACCAGGGATTTTCTTGGCTTGACCGGTGATCACCAGTCATGTGGCGGCGGCGGCGGTTCTGTCAACGGGAATGGAAATGCGAATATTGACGTTAATGTTAACGTGAATATGAGAGGTGTGCTATCATTCACCGGGAGCGTGGAGTTCCCGGCCACTTATGAGCGTGACCTTTCACTGCTGAAGCACCAGAGCTTTGGTTTTGCTGAGCCTGCAGCCTCGGAAGCTTGGAGAAATTGTTCAAGAGTTTGATGCAGGTCTCGACAGATTATGGCGATGTGCTTTGCAATCAACAAGTGAAAAATTATTGCTTTATGCATTTATTTTCCCTTTTTTTTGTTCTTTTGGGTCTTGGCCTTGGCGGAAAATGCTTATATATTTGTTCCTAGGTTTATTCTGACATTTTGCTTATGAGGTCATGACTTCTTCTTGTTCTTATGTTAAACCTTCCGGGTCTTTTATCCTACGTCAACCTTAGAATTTTATAGCTGTTGGTTTTTATTTATTTTAGTCTCTCTTTTAAAGCAGTTGTATGCACTAATATATGCACTATTATCATCGTTCGATACGTGATAACTTATCTAAATTATAATCTGAAATCCAAATTTTTTTCATATGCTATACATTTGACTATAACAGTGCACGCACTATCACTACCGTATAAAATTAAGTCTCATTATTTAGTATATTTGAATTTTTTTATCAAGTTGATTTCCTAAGGATATTCTTCCTGAAACTTTAGAAGAGTGATAACTAACTTCTTAAAGGTGGCGAAAGCAGTAGAATTATGAGCTGGTGATCAAACTATGCAGTCTTCAATTAAACATCCCTTTTCACGGGATGCAGAAAAGAATGTGAGGCAGGAAAATCCTATATTTCTTGCAAAGGGTTGTTCTTCTCTTTGCTTTGAACGTGGATGGGTTGAGTGATGTGAAAAACAAAATAACATTGTATGGGTCTAAAGATCAATATTTGTGTAATCTGTTTCGCAATTAAACAAATTTGGTCGTTTAGGGACGTGAATATGGGAGATGATTTGGTTGGCGCTTTTGGTCTGGTTGAGTTTATCTGGAAAAGAAATGGATCAAAAGCAAAGCAAAGTATATTCTGCACTCCAAAAGGAGGAAAAAGGGGTAAGCATTAGTACATGTCGGTGGCTGCGCAAGCCCAGATATTCCTTGTATTCGACTCGAGGTACGTATTAAAATTAAAGCCACATATGGATTCTTTCGTTAAATATCGATCATTGAGAGTATGAATGAATATGGGGATTTGGGACATAAGATTGTACCCTGTTCTGATGATCGATTGGATCTTACGTACATCTCCTCCATTTTAATGTTTGAAACAAAGTACTATAACAAAAATCTGCAATCAAATTTGGTCCACACTGAAAATATTCATATAGGAACTACTAGTATATATGCTTGAGAAAATGTGGAAGGGATGTGGTGATGAGAAATCTAATTAGCAAAAAAGAAATATAGAATTGGTGGCATCATTGTTATCGCTGTCTATGCCGGGGTTAAATAAGATAAGATAGGTCGTTCTATCAGAAAAGAAAAACGCACAATTACTAGTAGGAAGACTGGTAAAATTCGAAATTAAGAGTAGCATTAAGAAGATGGGGTGAAATGGATTTTCTACGGCACTCACTTCTATATCTAAAATATCAATCCCAAGAAATTCTTTTCCTTATCTCTCTCCTTTTTATTGCAAGGTACCACATTCGTAAAATGGAAAGGTTTGATGTATTTAACAGCTCAACAATGCCCTTTTATTGCATCGTCGATGGTAGCCCTTTTCTAAAGAAGGATAGAGGAGCAGAGAAGCTGCAAAAACCAGTTGCAAGTGTGAGTAGAAATTAAAGGTGACTAAGTTGATTCTGCGTGTGTGTGTGTGTGTGTGTGTGTGTGTGTGTGTGTGCAATTTTTAGTGGTGGTCCGGGCCCGGGGACATGCATTGCTATTGCGTGGTTTGTAAGTGGTGGTACAAACCAAAAAGAAAAAAGAGAAAAAGAAGGGGAAAAATTAAAGATCAAAAAAAAAAAAAAAAAAGAAGAAGAAGAAAAGAAAGATGAGCAAAATAATAAAGAGGATGAAAAATGTCAACGCCCGTGAAAGAGAGACTCCCATTGCAGCATCGAAAGGTTTGGAATTAGAATTGTTTCTTTTACAGGACAAGTCTTTCTTAAATTCCGTGCACGTCCCCATGCAACAGCCTTTAGCTTGCTTGATGGCAAGGCAGCTAACCTTTGAAAACGATCCCAGCATCACATGCTACGTATTCCTTCTCTGTTTTTAATTTTCGCCTATGCAAGAATTACAAGACCTTACGCCCAAGTCTGGACTCAGTTTCTTGACCCCCTAAATAATAATATCTTATTTGCTTTACGAGCAAAAAGAACAAAGGTGAAAACAAGGAATAAAGCCGTGAGCACGAAATTCTAGTTTAAAGAATACAATATGAGATCGCTATGGATCTTCTATGCTATTTCCACTCTTTTTTGTTTTACTATATCGTATGTCCACTTTTTTAGTATTCCAACCAAGTCTTGAGAGATATTATCGTTTGTTGAAAAAAAAAAAAAAAACCAAGTAGTCTTGAGCGAAGCAGGAAAAGTGAGCACGATTTCACGGACCGGAAAACAGATTCGAACAGCAAAAGTTGTATAGAGTTTCCCTTAGCCTAAGGCTGGATGCAGAGATTCCGAGGAGGTTTAATTGACGCTTGCCTAATTCAGTACACAAGGAATTTAGATAAGTTTATCCTGCTTCTGTTACTTTTTAGAGGCAGCAGGGGTTAAGGAATATTAATATTATTATTTGACCATAGAGAGATGAGTACGATCATGTATAATCATCCATTCCAAAAATTGTCCAATCTGTGATTTTCAAGCACATTCAGCATCGAAGATAGAAGGGGAAAAGAGAATAAGCACATGAATTAATGAATGCAGCAGCCAAGAAAACGTATGGTATATCCTAGCTTTTAGAAGGTAAATTTATGCAGCAGGCTTAAGGTACAATACAGCACACCATTTGCCTACTAGAAAGACCGGTGCTTTTTTATCTAGCTTTGACTGCACAACCAGACAAACAAAAAGCAAGCTTCTCTTCTATTCCCTGCTCCCCTTCCTCTCTAAAAGACTTGTGCTATCTTTGATCAGGGAATCTCATCTCCACTAGCCTTACCTTTTCCCCTACTTCTTCTTCCATCCAGAATCAACAATGAATCCAGACCACTTTTTCATGCTTTTTCTCTTTAGCCTTGAGCTCAAAAACCGCTGTAATGTAAATGACACTTCCCCGTAATCCCTAACCTTAACTACGCAAAAAAGACATGTTTCACTTCAACTAAAATCCAGCATAAGTCTCAAAATTATGTGGTAGAATTAAAATTATAAACTTTTCATCCTATTCTGAATAAAGATGATTCCGCTGGGAAGTGAAACTGAAAGCAGATGGCAGCTTGAAGTCCCACCTTAGTCAACTTTTCATCCAGTTTCTCAATCACCACGAAAGCCAAAATATTAAAATGTTCCCTAGGGGGCCCGGTGTTGCTTGGTGAGATATTCCTATCTTTATGCAAGTACCAAATTTTGGTAATCAAAGTAATGGAACTTTAAAGCATCTTGCAAGATAACACCTCATGTTAATTTACCCCATAATCTGCATTCACAACTATCTAATAGTGTCATTTTCACCACTCCACAATCCACAGAGAGAAGGAAATCAGATAGAAATTAGTAGCTTAAACACCCTTTATTTTCATATATCCATGAAAGTTTAAGCATAAAAATGTCAGCTTTACATTTTAGATGATTCATGCACACCTCTTATTGCTGGTTCACTAACACATGTAAAGCTTGGAAGTAGAATATCTCCATGGACATTGGACAAAACAAATTTGGCATTAACAAAGGGGATCAGACGAAATAATGGTCCAGATAGAAATACAGATACTTGATTATCTTCGTTTCACTTAACTATTGAGGATCAAGGATCAGTTACTCCACAATCAGGATCCTTGCCAAATAAAGCCAAAAAATAAATAATAAAAAGCAGAAGAAAGGCACTTCCTGTAAATGTATCTGACAAAACAAATTGCAGTAGAAGTCCCTAGGATACATCAGTAATTACCAACAACAGGATCAGGTATTGTACAAGGCATATTTCTTTTTCCTGTCTAAGACATGCACAAGCGCAAACCAATAAAAAAAGAGTCACCTCAGAAGTGAATTTGAATAAGTTAGGGACCAGTAGTCCTTAGAAAAGCCAAGTACCAGTCAACGTCTCATTTAACCAAAGGTTTTGAACCATCAAAATGTACTCCCAAATACTGGTCCAGCACATTCTTGAATGCCTGAGGCAACAGACAATTAAAAATAAAGGCTAGCACTATAATCATGAAGTAGCACACAGTCATTTCTAATTCTTTTCGAAACAAAAGTATATGATTGTGCATTATTGACCAACATCTTCAGAGACAAATGCACATAAAGAACAATCATACCAGAAATGTGTGCTCACATTCTTGAAATGTTATATGCAAGTAACTAAAAGAAAAATAAATGTCATGGTCAAAATAATGCCAGTAAAGACTTCTCTAATAAGCTAACATACATAAAAACCAAAATTAACAAAAGAAGTAGAATGGTCAAAGTTTGTGGCTCAAAAGCGGAAACGAAGTGAAGGCAGCAACAAGTGTACAAATGGAGTGCATAAGGCACCTTGATGTGATAAAATCAGCGATCTCATACCACCACGTTTTTCCTCTAGTAATAACACATTGACGAGAGATGAAATGCTAGCTCTCTTAGCATTTCAACTCAGGATGCATCAACAGCCAAGTATTTCTACCACTAGCTTAACTACAAAAGATCCTTTCCGGAAAAGTAAACTTTATAAATGGAGCAGTACATAAGGAAATTCAATCTTGTCTTAGAACAAGGATTCCACTCTCCATTTTCCTATGTTCAGATTAAAAGGACTTTCAACATGATGAATGTATTTTAACTTCATATTGTTAAAAGGACTTTCAATATGAATGTATTTTTTTATTGTTCACAGCAAATTATGATGTCAATACTAGAGCAACACCGAGGTCATAAAGATTCAAATGATTCAAAAGAATCTTAGACACTAGAAACTGCAGCTTAATGCAATGGATCTGCCAGTCAGCTGCAAAAGCATTGAGAAAAACATTATTGGCATACACAATCGTATTATATCTCCCTCAAGCAACTCTGAAGTATAGTGAAATACAATGACAATCTCCAAAATATATCGTCTATACTGGTTAATATAATCAGAGAACCAATGTCTCAAATCTTCACATGTAATGACATACTTTTAACTGCCAAACCCCCTGCCTCCATATAAACCACTAATAAATAAAATAAGAAAAGAGGAGGAATCACTTTAAGCTTGTGCAGGAGCAAGTAGTTAAAGTTCAAATTAAGATTCTAATTTTTAGCATATCAGGTCAATGATTCAAAGCTACTGAAGCTACCCAAACTTCAAGTACAGGACTTCTCATACCTGACGTGCAAATGACTCTTTTCCATTCAAAAGTGCATCCATTGCAGCAATCTGGTTGTCGAAAACACCATAGAAAATCTGGTAAAACTGGCTTCTGTAAGAGTCACGTATTGAAGGATAGGGGAAAAAGTCAGTAAATATCTTACTTCAAAAGAAGATAAGAACTCAATAACCAATATAAATAACAACTATCCAACCATACCGATCTTCTTCACCAATCAGCTGATCCATCTCCTCAAACTTTCGAGTAAGGACCTCTGCCCCAACGGGTGAGAGCACAAGCAATATCAAGGCCTCAAGAGTTCTTGGGAAATTGTGCTGTAATTGCAAAAGGCTGTAAAATGAATGCAAAGCAGAAGGGAAGAAAAGAAGGAGAAGGCAGCATCTAAGCATGCTGATTCACAATGATGCTTGATAGTACAAGCACTTCAAAGAAACAATCAAAAACTGGAACAGCAAACTGTAGATAGATCGAACCTGAATAAATACAGAAGACATGTGAAGAAACAAAATGTGGCCTCTGGGCCTAAAAGTGGGAAGAAGATAAAAACAAAAATGAAAAGAAACAAAAGGACAAACTCTCTCAATTGTCTTAAATTCCAGTATCTAGCATTTAACTGGTATTAACTCAAACATGATCAGTTTCACTTTACATTTTCTCAAAAGGGAATCTCTAACCAACAAAGGAAAGTACAATGAACTTCCCGATTGCGTACAATGGAGGGCATCTCTATGCCAAACTTACAACGTCTCCTAACAACAACGAGACAGGCACTTCCATTTCTATATTCACCTTTGGCAAGTTCAACTGCAACTAAAACTAAGCTTGTGACTTCACATCTTCTCTATCCAGACACTAGCAAGTAAAGGCCTGTAAAAGCTAATCCAACGCAAACTACTTTTTAAAGAATGATCATGTGGCTAAACTACTTTTAAGGATGATCATTTGGCTTGTTATAAAGCAGAACAGATGTCAAAAGTCTAGATTGCTTCCAGTGAGACCCAGCGGCATGTTTGACAAGTCCAGAACTGGCTTCAGTGCACTACATGGTGACAATGCCACCAAAATACTCTAGACAGTTAGAATGAGCTCTCTATAGTCAAATGGTTTTGCTTCAGAATGGGGATCTTAATCTGTCAAGCTATCAAAAATTGGCAGTCATAAACTCAACATTAGTTTTTCCTTGACCAATTCAACCTAGAAAGTCCCTCTGTCAAAGCTAAATGCAAGTAAAAAGGTGAGGATAACCTGAATTACGATTAGATTACACAGCACAAAGGACTCACCTGAATTTTCAACTAGCAGATAGTTCTCAAATACCAATTGTCATCTCTACCTAGAAGATCCCCCAATACGTTATATAATGTTTATCTCAAAACAGTTCAGTAAACTTTAGAGCTCTATAAGACAAGAAAGAAACTGCCCACAGGGCATCAAGTATAAGGCAGAAAACATAAACAAGGAGCATGTCCAGATGAATATAATCGAATGCATAGCACATCAAAGAGTCTAGTAAATAAAAAACCAGCTTTGAGGGAATTATATGCAACTTACTGCCATTGCAAGCAATACACATCGAAGGGCAAGCGGTTGGAGAGTCCACAACAGTAATGCAACTGGGTCATCTTTCAAGTTGAATAAGTCCGGTTTCATTATTTCATTACTTTCATCTTTCCCTTCAACAGCCAAATTATTTGCTGGGGTGCTATTCACTGGTTGGTTTGGATTGACACGTTCATGAACCAAAGAAACAAGTTTCTGAAGAGCAGAGACTGCAAGTTGATCCATTTCATGCAACACGCTCATTTGCCTTAACTGTACCCCTCCTGAAGAAAATTTGCTTACCCAGTCATGATCCAGAAGATGTTTACTGCAATCTGTCAGTTGCAGGAATGCCAGAACCAGTTTTCTCCAGAAGAAGGCCCAAGAAATAATAACTGAATATTGTCATTTAACAAAAAAATAATCATCTCGAAATTCTTTACCTGGAACCCTGGTCTTTGGTTGGTCGCTTTGATTACCATCTATTTTGTCGTCCACAAGAGAAGGCAAATGCAGCAATTGGTTCTACCCTAATCATAAAAGGAATGGTCATTATTCTCAATGCTCAGTTTATACTACATCATCAAGTCTGTTAAATCCAGAATTATTATATGATAGATGATAGCTTAACAAAGAATTGCTTACCATCTCTTTGTCAATCAATCTTCAATCCAAGGTGAAAAAGATGGAAAGGGAACATGCAGAGAGAAAGAAAATTAGCTTATTGCCAGAGTAATTAATCAATAAAGATCAAAAGGTGAAGAAAAATATTATAGGACAACCTTCTCAGTATTCTACGCAAATAATAGGAATCCATGTGGTCTGACAAACCAGACATCATGTCTGAGCGCCACCAGAAGTTAACAGCAATGGTCAAAGTTTCACTGTCCACTTGGTGGTACCTGGTAAGGAGAAAGAGATAAAGTAAAAACTAAAATAAATATACTTTTGCTCAAGTACAAGTACATTCTCATATAGGAAATCCTCTTTCTCCTAGAACACAATGATACACAAGCACATATATTTAAATTCTTTATATACTTTCGGAAACATATACCCATGGCTCATGGCTGTCTCAAAATCTTACTATTATACAGCATATTTCTCCTAAAAAGAAATATATCAAATTCAAGACTAGTTTATAAACCCAGAAAAAGGTTTAACAACAATTACAAGATTGTACATTTGTTGCATTTAGTGAGTTATCACACCATGCCTTAAAGGCATAGTCACATATTACAAAATATTGGGATGCCTCAACTTTCTTTTTTTAAGCCCACCAGAAAAAGATACTTGCAGAATGATCTTGGTGCAATCTGTTACCTGGTACCTCAATGACAATAGAATCCTACAGTAGTGCATAAAAGAAAGGTACAACAAAGCTAGCAAAGAAAGAACAACTGATTTTCAGTACAACGTTCTTCCATATTAACAGAACCAGGAAACAATTCAAGAAGATAAACAAAAACATATGAAATTACCACCCCTCAGGAATGAAAAGAGCATCGCCGCCATGAAGAATAATCTTCTGGGAATATTCATCAGAATGTTCTGCCCTTGGATGTGCACAAAAGTTTGGTTCGTCTAAATCTAGGGTGCTGAAAAAAAAATAAGCAAAGAAAAATGAAGGCAGGCAACAAAATACTTAACAACAAAGAATTAGACAAAAGAGCAACTCTTTCCATTTCAGACTTCCATTCTCCACCCCAAGGATATATAGTGAAATACCTGTGATTTGAAGCCTCCCCATATATGGGGCGTGGATACAGAAAGGGACATGCAGAAGGTGGCCATAACACAACTGCTAACAAAGCAAGTTGAGAAACATACACAGGATCAGCCTAGATAAGATTGCCAAAATCCAAAAAATACATATACACTATTACTGTCAGCACCCACTACATAAAATGCAATACATGATACACGTATTTAGTGTTTGAATGTATATGTATTGTGTATTATGACTCTTTTCATGCACCTGCTACTTTATATTGTTTATATAAGTACATAAGCAGTCATACACTATCGCCTTCAGCAACTAGTTTGAGCACTCATAGATGAGAAAGAAATAAAAGGTTGAAGAATCATAAGCCCCTCATCTATCACTACCTTCTCTCTTTTTTCTATGGGAATCAATAAGCAAAGATCACAAAGATGTGATGCCGTGAAATCAAACAAAAGCAAAACCAACCTAATTTCAAAAGTTATTTACACATTCGATATACACATAACAGATTCAATTAGTGTTTATCTAGCAAAATGATGCATTGACTCGATATTTTGTAAGCATAGACTGAAAAATGCATTTTAGGGGCCACACTTTTCAAAGTTACATGCATGGTTGATAAGCAACTAAACCTACCACAGTAAAACCTCACTTCAATTATACGAATCTAGAAAAGGACTTGAAAGAAAATCCAATAACTTTGTTTTGGTGTTTAAGTGAAACCACAAAGGCATTTTTACAGTGATGGACAGGATTCTGCAAATGTATGAACTATGATCTTTTTGCATGAGATAACTATCTATGAATAAAGAACAAATGTAAATGGATCACTTTAAGCTGCCTATTCTTCATAGCAAAACAAAAAAGAATCCCATGTGCAACTTAATAATCAACCTGGGAGCTAGTAGATACAATTCACCAATATGTGCTATAAACAGAATGCTAATACCAATTCCCAGGACAGCAGGAGGGACCCACAAGAGAAGATGAGAGTAAACACCAAAACTAAAAACCATTTAAAGCTGAAAAACCAATAACGAAGAACCATAGAAAATCAAACCTTGCTTACATCCAGAGACTATACATAGAAGGTTATGGTGTGGATCGTAGTGAGTGCTTGATCTACTTTGAGCACTATTCATCCACAAATTAATAGATGATATGGTTTTACTCTCCAAAAATGGAGGCTGTACAGATGAATGAAATCTGTTAGACAGCTAGGCAGCCAATACAAGCATTAAAAAATTTTAAAAAAATAAAAAAGTTAGGCAACCTAGATTTATTTTAAAAAATGAACTGAGAAAGCAATACCATTTCAACGTCCTCCCTCAAGCATTCCAACTGAACCTTCTCTGTGCACTCAATATTCAGAATTGGCACCTGATTCAGTAATCAAAGATTAATACCAGTTTAGGTCATCATATGCCTTAAGCAGTCTACATAATCTGCACACTACACTATGAGACTAACAGAAAGTTGCTTGAATAGCTCTAGATGTTGGAACTTAGATGATATGATATCGAGCAGAATTGGAAAAATCTCTCAATATGTATTTTCCAAGAATTTGGTACCTGTGCAAGATAAATCTGCTCAGGAAATTCAAATTGGCCAGTATGAGATTCTGTGGGAGTATGCTTCTTTGATTCAAGAAAACTATCTTCACCATCACATCTATCACATAAATTGTCCTTGCAATATCCAATAAACGTAGAGAAAGGCAATGAAACCTATAAAACTCCAATGAACAAAAATATGAGTAGAAGTGAAACCAAGACCAGATGATTCACATCCATGAGACAAGTTTTAGAAGCTAAATAATTACCCTTTCATGGCTTCTAATGTCTCCGTAAAATACTGGCGCTTGTTGGGAAAGCATGGCCTCCACTGTCGATGACCCTGCCTTTTCCTATTTCGAGTAGTATAGATATGCAAGTATGAAATTCCAGATGGCTCAAATGAGTTAGCAAGATATAATTCAGCATTTTAACAGGTGGTAGAACTTGAGCTGGTGGTATTTTATCCTACACAAGAAAAGCGATAGCGCCTAGACTACATATTCAATGTTTATTTCAGACAGACAGACAGACAGAAGGGAAGGAAAAAAACCTGCAAATAATCGAGACCGCCATTTGAGGGGTTCCATTGAGAAAAAGCCTTCCAATTTTTTATACAGCCGCTGAATACCTGTTTCATAAATGGTAGAAGCGTGCATATTCGGAGATTGTTCATGAGCAATAAACAAGATTTCCTTTAAACAAAGATAAGTTTATTGAGATTTATATGAAGGACTATTGAGTGGAAAGCATACCGCGGGAACGTTGAGAGGCTCAATCTCTGAAATGAACTCTTCAGCCGACGGAATTTTGTCAAACATCCGCATTCGCTGCAAGGATGCCGCCGACGACGACGACAAAGACATTTTGCTGCCAATGCTACCCTAAAGCTGAACTGAGTGGTAACGAGTTCTCTTTCCCGATGATGCTCTGCCCGCCGTTGTCTCGTGATCCTCCGGATGGTACAGCTGGGGTTACTCTATTTTCTCTCTCTCCTTTTTTGGATTAATTACAAAAACTACCCCGCGGTTTAATTAGTTTTGCACTTTATCCTTTAATGTTTTTTCTTTTACCTTATCCTTTAAATTATTAGTCAATTCCAATGTTACCTAACGAAATGTCAAATATCAAAAAGGTATAACCTATTTTGCACTTTACCCTCTAATACCATTTTTTTTTATTTGTCTGTTTATCCCAAAAATCATTAGTCAATCCCAATCTTCTTGCACCATTCAAGACAAATAATGTTTTAAAAAAATCAATATCCCACTGTAATCTTGAAATTTATCATATATGCATGGATAAAGGCCTTGTTAAATTTTATCCCTATAATTATAGATTTTTTAGATAGAGAAAAATATCTTGCTCATTTCATGCAATGAGGAAAAAATATTAGTGCAAAATTAAACAATTAAAATGTAGTTAAAGGTCTATAGAATGGGTTTATTACTTTATTTATATTATCGAAAATTAAACTATAAATGTTCAATGGGCACTCTTTTAGATAGGTCTTGGATGTTAATTTTTTGAAAAATGATGTCAAATTTAAAAATTACCCATACTCAAAGGAGTTTCAACAAATATACTACAATCCATGGTAATAAGCTCCCATTTTATATTTCCATGACAATCCATGGTAATTATACTTTCAAAACATAATATAGCACTCCCAACTGTTAATTGGGAGAAGAAAAAAAATTATAATGTGGAATATATCAAATTTCATGTTAAAATCACATCTACTATTATTAGGATTAATTTCAATTTACACTCTTAAATTTGTTTCACTTTCTCATATTGCATTCTAAACTTCAATTTTGAACATTTTGCGCCTTAAATTCTCAAGTTTCTCTTACTTAAACCTAATCAATAATTACATTCACAAAATTAATGAGATGAGAGATAGTGAAAATTGATCATAACGTGCCATATTATTGAACTTTTTGATTACTTTCAACATATTGTTATTGATTTATATGATCTCAATTACTGATATTGTTAGCAAAATTAATGATATAATAAATATTATAAATTAATGATAATGTATTATTTCTATTTTTACTATAATATCTTGGTAACTTTTGACCACATTTGGCACATTATCGTTGATTTTTTGAATCATCTATGCCTTTAATTTTGTTGAAGTTATTATTAATTAGATTTAAATAGAACAAATTTGAGAACTTAACGTGCAAAGTGTTTAAAGTTAAAATGGAGTTAGTCCTTATTAATATGTAAAATAAAAGAGTTTTCTATATAATAATAATAATACACCGCTTAATTCTCAGTAGTCAAGAGCCTCATGTAGTGACGATAAAATATAGCAGACCCCCGTGCAATTTGATTTTTAACCGGGTAAACGTATTTTATTTTTCTACATGCTTGCATCAACTCTAAATTATTAGAAATTAAAACCATAGCTGAGTACGAAAACCAGATACGTTTTCTCCCGTATTTCAACTCACAAATTCAAAACGCGTGGAGCCGCAGTCAAAGCTTTATTATTAGTAGTATCTTTTATTTCTTTGTTAATCAAATGGACCCCGCTTTCACACTTTTCCTGTTTTCCTAAAATAGCATAATCTCATTGAAATGTGGTAAGGTACGCGGAGATCGTATTGAATGGATTGCCTATCAATGTTAACCAACAAATTGAAGCCAAAAATGCAAAAGAAAAAGAGGGTGGAAGGGACAACATGGCTGGGATTTTCTTAGTAAGAAGCTGATAAGATAAAATTTCATTGCTCTTCAAGGTATTTAAAATCCCGTGAACAAATCCTACTGCCTTACCCTATCAAAGTGACCGAATGTCTCCGAACTTACATTTGCCTTCCCCCGCAGAATTTTGATGCCAGCTTACAAGCTTTTGAAATTATTCTGTGTAATGGGAGCCAGCCCTTTTTTCGTTTGCCATTTAAAGCTTGTTTTGAGTCTAGCTTTTACTCACCATTTAACGCAATTAAACCATCTGATGTTTGAAAGCAAATACGGATCAAAAAGTACATAACCAAGCAGTTGCAAGTAGTCCGTCAAAGGTTCCTCGTTAATGGTTGAAACTCAAGGAAAAAATGTCTAGTCCTAGCTTCCACTATCGGTGTTAATTAGATAGCGCAAAGTTGAAAGTCATTTGTCATAATCACCGTAACTTTCACACAAGTCATTAAATTGATCTGTTCGTTCATGCCACCATCACAAGTACTATCAACTGGTTTCAGCACGTTTTACGTGTGTGCTTATTCAAAAAAAAAAAATATTTTTTATTTGTGCAGATAAAAGGGAATGCATATGTAAAAGAGTAATAATCAGTGTACTGATTTAGAGACATTTATATGATGAATTTGACGTCATACATGCGAGAGCAACAATCACTTAATATGGAAGAAAGACCATGTGAAGAAGCAGTAAAATTACCAATTATTGAGCAAACTTGAAAAGTTTAGGAAAAGGGTTGATTAAATAGCAAAGAATTTGTCAAAAGGCTATTAACAAATGGTCTGGAAAGTTAAAAAATAAAAGGTCACAGAAAAAGTTTACACCAAATGTTTCTGTACAGAGTTTGAGAGATGTTGAAAGTTGACACCGTCTTGAGTTTGGCTTATACGATGGACACCGTCTCTTAACCCCATGTCACTTGAGCATTAATAAAAGGGGGATTTTTGGTGTAGACTTGTCAGTGTTGCGTGGAGTTGTCCTGATCGGTGATCATCACCTTACACCGCCATTGCCGCGTGTTTTCTTACCTGACGGCTGACGCATTGAAAGAGAAATTTCTCCTCCTTATCGTAAAGAGTAGATGAAGGCTTTTGTTTCTGTTGCAATCCAAGAACTTTGGTATTGACTTTTAATGGTAATGTCGTGGTATAATTGATAGGTTTGATACCTTCTACTCTCTCTCTTTTTAAAAAATAAAAATAAAAATATTTTCCGGCTACCATACTTTTCCATGATTAAAAAAAAAAAACGCAACAAACATGATGGTTTTGGTGACCCAGTCCATTCAACTTAATGGGCTGGCAGCTAATGCTTCCAATTGCATTGTAGATAATGTGCGCGTAAAAGAAAAATCAGACTGCGCGATCAACGGGTATAATTTTCTAAAAGGTGCTACAAATTATCCAGTATTAATTAAATAAACCTTTCTTATTTTTTTATTTTAAAGAAATACAATGAGTTTCTTTATACTTTTAGGTAATAAAATGAGTTAAATCCTTTTGTATATTTTACGTGCTTCTTAGTTCATCATCTAACTATTGGCTATTTTCTTATTGACCACAACCTCGAATTTTCACATACCTTTTAATTTCATTTAGTACTTTTTTTTTGGAGCAACTTTTATTGCATTGACTCTTTTTTTTAAAAAAAAAAAAAGTACGATAGAATCTATTCTATATCAGGGAGAGGGAGACCTAAAGAGGTTCAAGAAGAATCAAAAGAGAACTGAATTACCACCAGTCCAGACGGGTGCCTACGCACCCGCTGATGAAATCTTTAGAAAAGTCTGGATTTTTACTCTATAGTAACTTTAAAGCCCCCTAATTACTCTGGAGTAGTTGGTTTTTTACTGCATTAACTCGCTGAGGTGAGATGTTGTCACATGGCATTTCTAGAGTTTCTATTAATGAAATGAATTAATTGGTAGGCATCAAGACATATATGATCATTTATAGTTTAGCAGTTATTGAGTAGGTGAAGTACTATCATACAAAAAAAAAAAAAAAGGTACTATGGTACATCACAACTGGAAGATGTAATTTATTTTTACTTGTGATTATAGAAAAGTGAAAACTGTGAAAAAGCACGAATCATGTACGTAATTAAATTATGAGTTACTGTAAGATTTTTGCACTTAACAAGCTTAGAAAGTTTGGAACTTTTAAAGAAGAATAATATATGGTCATTGTACCAAATGCAATCTTTTCGGTTTTATGTGAATCGATAAAATTATAGCTACATGCGTGATTGCCACTAGCTAAATGAACTCCGTAGTTATTACTTGCGCTTTATTAAACTAAGAAAGAATGAAGCACGACTCAAAAATCCAAATACGATATCTTTGTAAGTGTTACAACGGTACGATTGCGCGTAATCTGCAATGTTTAGTAACATTTCATGCACCGCACCAACTGCGTTGCAGAATGAACATCATCTAGTTTAAGGACTTCAAAATATTTCGTAATGCATAAAAGGGCAAAAAAAAACTCCAAAATTTCCATTTGATCAATTTCAATTCCACTCAGTACTTTGTGAGGGGAACCCCCCCCCCCCCCCCACACCCCACCAAAAAAAAAACAGAGAGAGGCAAAATAGAGTGCAACAAGTCTAAATCTCAAACATGCTGTATTGCAGTTGCATTTGCTCATCTTTAAGAAATGATTTTGAAGCAGTAATCTAGTTGTTTTGAAGGATCAGACAATTTTGTTTCCGTGTTTGTCTGATAGCAATTTGCAAATACGTAAAACAAAAACAAAGTGTGAATAAATAATACATCAATAACAAATTTTAAATCCCATATTTTTGGGAGAAAGATAGGTTGGGTGATATTTGGGGAGGGAGTGCACGTGAAAGATTTCGAATTTGAACCCTTCAATTTATATTAAAAAAATCAACATTTCCTCAATTTGACAACCCACAAATGAACAATTACCAGCTCAATTAGTCAAAAGTTATCTCTTCAGGACTCTCAATAAATTAAATAGATTTATTTTCCTTCCACTTCCCCTAGTATAGAACTATTTGTAACAATAATGTTGCACTCAAAAAAAAAAAAAAAAAGACAACCCACAAATGAATAATTATTACTACTACTTAAATGAACAAAGTACTACCGCTGCTACTTAAATGGATAATTCAAAAAAGACTCCAATTAAATGAACAAAGTACTACCGCTGCTATAGTAATCATAGTGGATTTTTCAAAGTACTTCCGTAGTTTGGATAACTTCAGGCAAAGAGCCCAAAATCAGCATCTAAATCTTAATATAATACGGTACATCAGCAACAGGAAAAAAGGATAGTAATAAATAAAGCTTAATATATTATGGTACATCAGGAATGGGAAAGAAGAGGATTCACGTCTCGATCGTCAATAGCAAGAATCCACGTGGACGCCCAAGAGACATGGATCCCTGACGTGTTAAAAATTTTTGAGTTTTAAGCCATGGGAAGAGGAGGTTTAACGAAATCAACGTATTTCAATACTAATAAAAAGGCAGTGGTAGCAGCAACAGTACTATAAATAAAAAATCAAAAATAATTTGTAGAGAGGGAGAGGGAGAGGGAGAGGGAGATATAGAGCGAGAAACAAGGCGCGGAGAGGCCGTCCGAAAACAACACAACGTACACAGCACCCAGCGCTGCACCCTGCACCCTGCACCTTCACCTGCTACTGGACTGGAAGTTCCTCCTCTTTTTCATTTTTTTTTATCTTTCAAAGAAATTTCTGGTCGTCGTCGCTTTTTCTTTCTGTCCAACTCGCTTCTTCCCATTCTTGGATTAGACTTTAGGCCTCCTCGAAATTCGAACTTGATACTCCTCCTAATACTGCACTTTCCCGAAATTGCGTAAATCACCTCCATCGCCAGATCACCCCAACTTATATCCATTTCCCATTTTTTCCCCTTCTCAAGTTTATACCATATTTAAATTTATTCAGATCTTGCTAATTTGATTTGCTTCCCTAATTTACTCCGATCGATCAGTCCAATCCATCTTTCCGTCCTCCGATCACATCTTTCTTTTATTAATCCAATCTTAATGTAATGTGAAGAGTGTATATACAAATTCCTTGTTTTCTAATACTAGTAGCATATTTTGTCAGGCTAAGTTGATTTTCCTTCTTTTTTCTTTTTCGTGGAATTTTGGGGTTGGTGAGCTGTGGTGGTTCTGATAGAAGAGTTCTTTTAATTTTTTGGGTTATTGGATCGACGGCCGCCCGGAGGTAGCTGTCGGATGAAAGAGGAAAGGGGTGTCGGATAATACTAGTACATGTTTAACAAAAAATCGACGATGAAATGGGCAACATTGCTTAAAGACTTCAAAGAAAAGGTAGGTTTATCGCAGACCCCATCCGCCGCAGCATCCTCGTCTTCTTCTTCTTCTGCTGTCTCCTCCCCGTTTCCTGATTACAATGCGTTCTCATCCAACCAAGAATTCTCGTCATCACCTTCAAGGTTTGTCTTCTCTGCTTTGCTTCTTCCTTTTCTCTTTTCGCCCCGCCGCCCCCCCCCCCCACACAACAAACAACAAAAAAAAAAAGAGCATGCAATTGACTATAATTTTGTAGATGTTAACTAACTGATTTAGTTAAAATATACAATTTGTCGCATTTAAATTTCAGTTGAGCGTGCTCTGAATCTTATGTGCGCAAGAATAGTGATTTCGTTAGATATTCAAGACACCACTGGTTAAGAAGAGAAAAGGAAAGTGGAAAAGGCAAACACTCGACCCAAATGTTTGATGAAGTAACGAGTTCTGAGCTTAATAGGCCTGGTTACCTCTTATTTTAGTGGCGTTACATAGAAACACCCGGATTTGACAGAATAGAAAATGATTGGGAGTTTAATATAGAGTGACCTTTAAACGATTGAGAGTTTAAATTAGATTAAAATTTTTTGGGCTTGAAGCCATGGAAATAAGGTGCCTTGATAGTAGTGTCTGCTGTTAGACTTAATATGCTGGGGTCTGGCAGTTGAAAAAACCTGTCACATATGTTGCCTAATCATATGAAAGCAGTTTTAGTTGGCATTATGATGGCAGTTGAAAAAACCTGACACATATGCTGCCTAATCATATGAAAGCAGTTTTAGTCGGTGATTCTTGGTGTGCTTAAATTTGATGCATTGTCTGTTATATGTGCTTGACGTGGCATATGGTAAAGTATACGTGTCAAGAATTTTCACTACAATTTGGACTGCTTTATTCAAAACTTTATGAGGGTCATGAGATGATTTCAATGCTAAGAAGTATCAAGTTGCCACATGCTGTTAGTCATTGCAGTAAATTTAGTTATTACCGATTTTGGAGATTCCAGCATTAAAGACCTAATGATTGAGTTTAGAATTTTTGGGTCCCACACAGACTTGGTAATGAGTTGCGGTGACTTTAATTTTCCTCGTTGATCTTTTGGTCATGTGCAAAATTTCACACGTGCCAGATCCTCGCCCATGCAATACTTGCTGTTAGGTTTTTTAGTGATCTGTTTTGCTCGAAAAGCAGGTTGCTTCCTTGTAGATTCTGAGATGAGGTTAACAGTTGATGTGTAATGGACTGAGTAGTAACTGAACTTACAAACACTAGATTGCGAATGTAATCAGGAAAGGAGGATCTGTGGAGCTGAAAGATGTGATAAAGATGAAAATTGCTTGGTACTTTTAAGTGGGAAAATGCTATTTCTTTTGTGATCACAAGCAGTGGGTTGGGTTCTAACTAAACTCATTTTCTTTACTGCGATAGCATATTAATATTAATCTAGTATTTGAAGCAGGGCAAACCTGGGACTTCTATTTTTATTTTCTTTATGAAATGTTTTCAGCTAGAGTTTGAAGATGCAGGAATGAAAGTGAAGAAAGATTTGTTTATTAGTTGATTCTGCTCTTTTTTGGTCTCTTAAGCCTGAAACCCTCATATGATATGAAAATGTGTGGGTGCCTAGAGAACCTAAGGTGGTTTTACCAACAACTTTTTTTAAGCTTTCTGGCCTAGTATTTTGGTCCAGATGGGCTATTACATCCGTGCGATCGTTGCATAGGTAACCTTTAGATGATTATTGGAACTGAGACAATGAGGCAATCAGGGGGGAGATGATTTATTCTAGCTCGACTTGTCATTGTATTTTAGTGCATCATGTCACTGGTTCTCATGGGATTAAAGGGCATCAGACTTTATTTGGTTAATCTAGCCTGTAAGTCTATTTCTGGAAGTGGTTCTTGGTTTTATGGGTGATTGTGTATGTTCCATTAATTTACTCGCCTAATTTTCTTTTTTCTTGCATTCTTCTTGGATTTTGCATTTAATTTTGCAAATTATGTCAATGGGATGAGAACTTGTTTTGCTTGTATGTGGAAAAATACCAGATATGTTAATGTTTCCTGTAAGTCTAATTTTGGAAAGTGCTTCGTTTTACGGCTTGATTGTGCATATTCCATCGATTTAGTAATGTAATTTTCTATCTTTGTACATTGTGCTTGGTTTTTGGGTTCAAATTTCCTTTGGTATAATTATTCAATTGTTTATCTATCTTCTATTTAAAAGTCTAGCTTTCTTCCAAGCCTAAGTAAAGCCTTCTTGGTATTTCATGCATGAGAAATTATTAAAAAGATGATCATATCTTCCTCCGTTTATTTTCTCATTTTTCACGCAATTTTGATTTGGTGGTTCATCATTTTTTTTTTCTCTGATAACAGTGCTGATTGTCTATTAACTTTGTTAGGGCTTGTGGAGCAGTAGCTTCAGTTTCTTTAAGTTTATGCTGATTGTCTATTAACTTTGTTTGTGTTCGTTTTTGTGGTTTTTCATTTTTTTCAGTATATCTTTTCAATCTGATTACTCTTACAGATACAGAATAAAAAGTGCATATCATCTTCAAATTCTATATAGACTTACTTGGTATCTATTCTTTAGTTCTTTTCAACAAATCCTTTTTCTTGAAAGCAGGGACAAATATGAACTGGAATTGGATTTTAAGAGATATTGGGAAGAGTTCCGGTCTTCAATTTCTGAGAAGGTTTCTGCATTTATTTTGCAAAATTGTTGTCTTTATGGTTGCATACTTATGGTTGCATACTTAGAAATATCGCAAGGGCTAATGGCTTTTCTCTACCATTGCAGGAGAAGGAAAAGGCCTTGAATTTAACTATTGATGTTTTCTGTAGATTAGTAAAGCAGCACGGAAATGTTGCTCAACTAATTACGATGTATGATAATTGGTTTCCTTCTTCTCCTTGTCCATTTGATATGCGCGTTCTTCTTATACTTTTCAATGACGTTACTATATCCTGGCAGCTTTCTTTTCAGAGTTTATCATGCCATTTTGAGAGGTTTTTGGATGATTGTATTATTTAGATGAATCTCATAAGGCAATTAGTAGTTCTTTGGTTTTTATGTAGTGCTCTTCAAATTTCTTTAACATTGTAAGAAATAAATTATCATCAAGAAGTCCTAGGGATATTCTGTAGTCATGATCCAAGTTTGACTTTGTTGCCTTTTGTCCTAGGGATATTCTGTAGTCATGCTCATTGTCATCCCATAATGGGTTCTTTTAATTCTGTTTCCAGTTATCAGTTTTTTTAATGCGTGTTTACTTGTATGGCAACTTCTAAACTATTTTTTTACAGGCTGGTAGAGACACACATATTTTCGTTTGTTGTGGGAAGAGCATTTGTAACAGATATTGAAAAGTTGAAACTTAGCAGCAAAACCAGATCTTTGGAAGTTCGTAGAGTTCTAAACTTTTTTGCAGAAGTCACAAAGGTTCATATATGATCTTCTCTCTGTATGATTTTTTGTCTAGATGACATTCTTTAACATTGTGATAAAACCTACTCAAATGTATTTAGGATGGTGTGCGTCCTGGTGCAAATTTATTGCATGCTGTGGAAGTCCTTGTATCTGGGGTATGTCTCTGGCCTTATCAGTTTCAGGATTACTCAGTTCAATTGAATGCATTCCGTTTCTCTTGCATTTTTACTGTTTTTTGCCTCCATCTTGAAGCAGCCAAATTATTTTTTCCTCTCCCCTCATTTGTATAGGAGTATGGATTAATCTTTTCAGGAAAAGGAATTAACCATAAATTGCATTTTTTAGTTGTTACATGGGTCTCTCGATACACTATATAATGCATTAGACAATAAGTAATCATTTCTTCCATGGCTTTGCTTAACATCTTTGTGCAGCAAGTGGGATACGTAACTAGTGTTACTTTCCAAATGGTGGACAGATAGTTGCATGGGCATTTCTTAATACTTAACGCACAAATTTTGTCCATGTATACAGCCTATTGATAAACAATCACTCCTGGATTCTGGGATCTTATGTTGTCTCATCCATGTTCTCAATGCTCTTCTGGGTCCGGATGGAGGCAACCAGAGGCAAAAGATTCTTGATCATCAGGAGCCATTATTAACTGAAGGAATCCAAAATGATGACAATGGATATGCCCGCCGGCTCGAGGTAGCTTCTTCCTATATTTGATGGTCCTGTTGATCTAAGCTAATTGAATTTTCTGCATCTCTATACAATCCTGGTTTTCTAGTTTTATGAACAGAGTGCAACTTTTTCTTCTGAGGCGGTAAAAGAATGCTTTGCCATAGCAAAAAAAATTGAAATTGCTTATAGCTGTTTCTAAAAATGCAGGTTGAAGCAAGTGTTGTCCATGTTATGAAAGCTTTGGCCAGCCATCCTTCAGCTGCACAAAGTTTAATAGAGGACAATTCACTTCAATTACTCTTTCAAATGGTTGCCAATGGTTCTTTAGTTGTTTTCTCCCAATATAAGGAAGGTCTAGTTCCCTTGCATAACATACAGCTTCACAGACATGCAATGCAGGTAATCAACTAATCATTTCTTGGTGTACATTTGTGGGATTGGATGAATTTTTTGTGAGCATTTTTGCAAGTTATCATCATTGACACTTGGACTTTTTGTTTGATAATGATTCATCTTTCAGATACTTGGCCTTCTACTGGTTAATGATAATGGCAGCACTGCCAAGTATATAAGGAAGCATCATCTGGTATGCTCTTTAGCTTAATTTGAATTGTTGATGTTGTATGTGTTTCATGAATAGGAAAGGCACTTCTGGGCTGTTTTTTCCGTATGTTGTTTGCTTTCAAGAACCTCACCCTATATCTTAAGTCCAATTGATTATGAATGAGGCTGCAGGTGGGCATTTTGATGGAATTGGATTTTTGAATGCTTGTTTGTTGAATTTTTTTCGTTGATATTTATTGGATCAATGGCGAATCATGCTATTCCTTATGAGTTTAATGCTGAAAAGCTGCAACTTCATTTTGCTGTGCTGAGTATGGTGAGAGTTGTCAAAAGACTTTCATATTTTTATTATTTTTTATTATATATATATTTATGATCATGTCCTAATCTTGCCTTTTTTTGGGGGGGGGGGTTTCAACCCTTCAATTCCATTTTCTTATTGAATTATGTTTAGTTGAATCGACAATTCTTCAGTTACTGGTTCATTTCTTTATTGTTTTATCGTAATTAATTTTCAAACTAAATTTGATGGTACTGATGATTGAATAAAGAGCCTTTAGAATTTTAATAGAAGTAACTCATTTTCGTATTGGCGGATGGAGATTCAATAAAGTGCAGCAGAGGCCTCTTTTAATTGTCTCTGAAGAAGTCACCGCTGAAGGAATTCAAACTGTGGCTTGTTTTTCTTTCCTATATTTTGAGTGGTTATGTTGCCCTGCCTAAATAAAAAGAACTATTTCAAGTTAAAGAAATAAAACGAATTTTTGGTGGCCTCCTACTGAGAAGCTATTAGCTATGCTTTTTTTTTTTTTTTGATAATGCTATTAGCTATGCTTATTCTTCACTATTTAAGGTTGATGCTTCCTTCTTGTGACCGTGCACCCAAAAGATTGCACATCTTTAAATTTCGTTGATAGTCTGGCTTCTAGTTCTTTGCTGGTATTGAAGGAAAAAATTTGGCACTTGCGTCCTGTTTTATTTGTTCCATCCCTCTCTCTCTCTCTCTCACACACAGGTTTCCTGATTGATGTCATCTCGTTGTGCCTAAATTTGCTGACAGTTTCCTGCCTGCGCTGCTGCTGAAACATTTTCTCTCTTTGTGCCAGATAAAAGTACTTCTGATGGCTGTAAAGGATTTTGATCCTGATTGTGGGGATTCTGCCTACACGATGGGCATTGTGGACTTACTTCTTGAATGTGTTGAGTTGTCGTACAGACCAGGTAAAATGGCTTTTACTTGAGGTGACAAAGAAATCTTTATCTGAAGACAGAAGTTCTTTTACTATTCAATAGTCTTCAAGATCATGGATTCTGAAAAGTAACAAAGAAATCTTTGTCTGGTGACATGAGTTCCTTTTATCTAATATTTAAGTTCCTCAATACTGAAAAGTGAAAACATTTTTTTTCTCTGAGATCCTACAGATTAGACAGCTTGTCTATTATTTTCCTGTTGAATGCTGAATATAGGCGAATTTGACTTGTAGATGCTGGAGGTATCAGGCTGAGGGAGGATATCCACAATGCCCATGGTTACCAATTCCTTGTCCAGTTTGCATTAGTTCTTGCTAAAGATAAAGGTGGTCAGAGATTTCATTCCAACTGTATTCCCAGTGAAGACCCTGCTCTAGGAAATCTGTCTTCTGATGATTGTATTGAGAGCAAGAACACTGGGGAAAAAGGATCGGAGCTCTCTTCGAAATGTCTCTCTCCTACATTATCGAGGTTGCTTGACGTTCTTGTTAATCTTGCTCAGGCTGGTCGAGCTGATTCTTATGGATCACCTGGGTCCAAAGTGTCCAGAGGTTCTCATGCAAAGCCTGCAGGGCATGGCAGAAGTCGTACATCATCAGCTGACAGACTAACTGATGAACTTTGGGAGAAAGATAATGACAAAATCAAGGATCTTGAAGCTGTTCAAATGTTTCAGGATATTTTTCTTAAAGCAGGTAGTAGGGAACTGCAGGCAGAAGTATTAAATAGAATGTTCAAGATATTCTCCAGTCATATTGAAAACTACAAGTTGTGTCAACAGTTGCGGACTGTGCCCCTTTTGATCCTCAACATGGCTGGGTTTCCCCCATCTTTGCAAGAGATTATTCTGAAAATTCTTGAATATGCTGTGACTGTTGTTAATTGTATTCCCGAACAGGAACTACTTTCTCTTTGTTGTTTGCTCCAGCAACCAATTACATCTGAATTGAAGCATACAATTCTTTCTTTCTTTGTTAAGCTGTTATCTTTTGATCAGCAGTACAAGAAAGTCCTAAGAGAGGTAGGTGTGCTTGAAGTTCTGTTAGATGATCTAAAACAGCACAAACTCCTCTTAGGACCAGATCAGCAAAAGAATGATCTTAATCAGTTGGAGAGAAAATCTAGTTCAAGCAACTTCAAGAAACATATGGACAGTAAAGATACGATTCTTTCTTCACCCAAACTCTTGGAATCTAGTTCTGGTAAACTCCCTCTTTTTGAGATAGAAGGCACGATTGCAGTTTCATGGGATTGTATGGTCTCCTTATTGAGGAAAGCTGAAGCTAATCAAGCATCATTTCGGTCCTCTAGTGGGGTGCCCTTTGTCCTTCCTTTTCTTGTATCTGATATTCACCGCCCTGGTGTCCTTCGGGTCTTATCCTGCTTGATCATTGAAGATTCTGCTCAGGTTTGCTAACTTTATTCATGGTTTTCCTCATTCATTTTGGCTGTAGCTCTTTCTAGTTTGGATCCCTCTTTGCCTCGGGTATTTTACCCTAGATTGATTCTTTACTAACATTAAAGGAAAAAATGAATTTGATCTTTTTCTGGTACTTTTCTATGTGGTTGCCCGGATTAAGATGACTAAGATCTAATGTCTACATGTGATACCAATTCTTTCTGGTGCAATATCCTTTTTCAATTGCTAACAGCCAAATCTTTGGCATATGTATTCCTGTTGAGGTAATCGACTCTATTTCATACAAATTGTTAGTGATAATGATTTCTTTATGGTTGTGCATGAAGAATAATAGCATCAGTAGTATGTAATTGCTAACACTGATGGTTCTGATGGCAGTTTGATTTATCTCTTGCAAGGGAATAGCATGCTTTCTTGTAGATTACCTGTTTGGAAGAGATGGACTGATTATATTTAATTTTTGAAACAGGTTCATCCAGAAGAGCTGGGAGCACTAGTTGAAGTTCTAAAAAGTGGAATGGTCACAAGTGCTTCAGGATCTCAATACAGACTACAGGATGACGCAAAATGTGATACATTTGGAGCCTTATGGCGGATTCTGGGCATTAATAGTTCTGCTCAACGGGTTTTTGGTGAAGCAACTGGATTTTCTCTTCTGCTAACCACGCTTCACAGTTTTCAAAACGATGGATACACAAAAGAGTATTCCTTGGTGGTGTACATTAAGGTGTTTACATATTTGTTGCGTGTAATAACATCTGGGGTTTGTGATAATGCTGTTAACAGGGTAAAGTTGCATTCTGTTATATCCTCCCAAACATTTTATGATCTTCTATTGGAGTCTGGGTTGATTTGTGTGGAGTGCGAAAGGCAAGTTATACAGTTGTTGCTGGAGCTTGCTCTTGAGATAGTGCTTCCTCCCTTCTTGTCATCAGAAGCTGTTGCATCATCGGATAATTTGGAAAATGGGTCTGTTAGTTCTCTTATGATTATTCCATCTGGGTCTTCTGTTCCTGATAAGGAACGGGTGTATAATGCTGGTGCAGTTAGGGTCCTGATACGATCTTTGTTGCTCTTCACTCCAAAGGTGCAATTAGAAGTGCTAAATATGATTGAAAAGCTTGCTCGTGCTAGCTCTTTTAATCAAGAAAACCTTACGTCTGTAGGTGCGAAATCAAAACTTATCCTGTTTATAGTATTATTTTGATGGGCACTTAAAACTTGCTATTTGTAATGTTTCAGGTTGTGTTGAACTTCTGCTTGAGACAATATACCCATTCCTTTCTGGCTCATCACCGCTGCTGTCATACGCTCTGAAGATTGTGGAGGTTCTTGGAGCATATAAGTAACAACTTGCTGGCACTTTTTTAAACTTTTTAATTTGTATCTGTTAATTTGATGGCTGTGTTGAATTTAATGTCCTCCATTCTACAGGTTATCAACTTTGGAGCTTAGAGTGCTCGTTAGGTATATCCTGCAAATGAGATTAGCAAGTTCTGGTCGTTTTCTCTTTGATATGGTGGAAAAACTGATTCTTACCGAGGATATGGATTCAGAAAATGTTTCTTTAGCACCGTTTGTTGAGATGGATACGAGCAAGTTGGGTCATGCTTCCATTCAAGTGCCACTAGGTGAAAGATCTTGGCCTCCTGCCGCTGGTTATTCTTTTGTCTGTTGGTTTCAATTCCGGAAATTCTTGAAATCACCATTGAAAGAGGCAGAGGCTTCCAGACCTGGATCATCCAGAAGGCAAAGCGTAACTGGTGGACAGCTTCCTATCTTTCTCCGAATATTTTCTGTTGGGGCAGCAGATAGTGGAAGCACCTTTTATGCGGAGCTTCGTCTTGATGAAGATGGTGTTTTGACCCTTGCCACAAGCAGCTCTTCCTCCTTATCATTTTCTGGCTTAGAAATTGAGGAAGGTCGATGGCATCACCTTGCTGTTGTACATAGTAAACCAAATGCTTTGGCTGGACTATTCCAAGCTAGTTTTGCTTATGTTTATCTTAATGGAAAGCTTAGGCACACAGGGAAATTAGGATATTCTCCCTCTCCTGCTGGGAAGCCCCTCCAAGTAACAATTGGCACACCAGCTACTTGTGCTAGAATTAGTGATTTGTCATGGAAGCTTAGATCTTGTTATCTTTTTGAGGAGGTGCTGTCACCAGGTTCTATTTGTTTCATGTATATTCTCGGAAGAGGATATAAGGGGCTGTTTCAAGATACTGATCTTTTGCAATTTGTTCCAAACCAAGCATGTGGTGGAGGTAGTATGGCCATTTTAGATGCTTTGGACACTGATTTACTTCTTTCTTCTGGCACGCAAAAGCCTGAGGGTGCAGGCAAGACAGGTAGCTCAAAGGCTGATCGTAGTGGGTTTGTTTGGGATTCAGAAAAACTTGGAAACCTGTCGCTCCAGCTTTTGGGTAAGAAACTGATATTTGCATTTGATGGCACGAGTACAGAATTACTGCGTGCTTCTGGAACTTCTTCTTTGCTCAATCTTGTTGATCCAATGTCCTCTGCAGCTTCTCCTATTGGTGGTGAGTGAATTATCAACTCCTTTCCCTGTTTTTGATTTATAAATGTCGTATATCAAATAAGTCTGTTTTTGTATCCTTTATTTGTTCATTCTAGTTTCATCTTTCTTTTGTTTTTCCCCAGGAATACCACGTTTTGGACGGCTTCTTGGCGATGTTTTTGTTTGTAAGCAGTGTGTGATTGGTGACTCCATTCGCCCAATTGGTGGAATGGCTGTTGTCCTAGCCCTTGTTGAAGCTTCTGAAACCAGGGAGATGTTGCACATGGCCTTGACATTACTTGCCTGTGCACTTCATCAGAATCCTCAGAATGTGAGAGACATGCAAAAATACCGAGGATACCACTTGCTTGCTCTTTTTTTGCATCGCAGGATGTCATTGTTTGACATGCAATCACTTGAGATCTTTTTCCAGATTGCTGCATGTGAAGCATCTTTTTCTGAACCCAGGAAGGTTGAAATTCCTCGTAATTTATCACCTACTCTATCCCCTCCAGAAACCAGCTTTGAGGAGCTTAATTTATCAAAATTCCGTGATGAGTTTTCATCAGTTGGGTCTCATGGAGATTTGGATGATTTCTCTGCCCAAAAAGATTCATTTAGTCATATTTCAGAGCTTGAAACATCTGACATGCCTTCTGAAACATCTAACTGCATAGTTTTATCAAATGCTGACATGGTTGAGCATGTCTTGTTGGACTGGACCCTTTGGGTCACAGCTCCAGTACCTATTCAAATTGCTCTTTTGGGCTTTCTTGAGCATCTAGTCTCCATGCATTGGTACAGAAACCATAATCTCACAATTCTTCGGAGAATTAACCTTGTTCAACATCTACTAGTAACTCTTCAAAGGGGTGATGTTGAAGTTCCTGTGTTAGAGAAACTAGTTGTACTATTAGGGGTTATTTTGGAAGATGGATTTCTGGCTTCTGAGTTGGAACACGTGGTTAGGTTTACAATTATGACATTTGATCCACCAGAACTGATGTCACGTCATCAAATAACACGAGAGGCAATGGGGAAACATGTTATAGTAAGAAATATGCTACTTGAGATGCTAATTGATCTACAGGTGACAATCAAATCAGAGGAGTTGCTTGAGCAGTGGCATAAAATTGTTTCATCAAAATTGATAACTTATTTTCTTGATGAAGCTGTTCATCCTACAAGCATGAGATGGATCATGACTCTTCTTGGTGTCTGCCTTGCGTCTTCCCCTACGTTCACACTCAAGTTTCGTTCAAGCGGAGGATATCAAGGTTTGGCAAGGGTGCTTCCAAGTTTTTATGACTCTCCGGATATTTATTATATTCTGTTTTGTTTGATATTTGGCAAGCCTGTTTATCCAAGATTACCAGAAGTCCGAATGCTCGACTTCCATGCCCTTATGCCAAATGACGGAAACTACAGGGAGTTAAAATTTGTTGAATTATTAGATGCAGTGGTTGCAATGGCAAAATCAACATTTGATAGGTTATCTATGCAGTCAATGCTTGCCCACCAAACAGGCAATTTTTCGCAAGTTGGTGTCGGTCTGGTGGCAGAACTAGTAGAAGGAAATGCAGACATCGGTGGAGATCTTCAGGGCGAAGCACTGATGCACAAAACTTATGCAGCTCGCCTTATGGGGGGAGAAGCTCCTGCTCCTGCTGCTGCTACCTCAGTCCTTAGATTCATGGTTGATCTGGCAAAGATGTGTCCTCCTTTCTCTGCTGTCTGCAGACGAGCTGAATTTCTAGAAGGCTGTGTTGACCTTTATTTTTCCTGTGTGAGGTATGTATGCTTTTGATTTTTTTGTTCTTTCTCAATAATCTTATTTTGTTGAGGTTCACTGGTGTTTCAAATGCTTTTAATTTACGAAATGGAGATAAGGTAACGTCCAAGAAAACTAATAATTGCATATATTGAGGAATATATCTTTCTCAAGTGAATTCTTCTCATGTAGTCGAATCGTTGGACTTTTTTTTTTATTTAGGGCTGCTCATGCTCTGAAGATGGCAAAAGATCTATCTGTAAAGGTAGGAGAGAAGAACATAAATGATGGTGATGATACCTGCAGTTCTCAGAACACTTTCTCAAGCTTGCCTCAAGAACAAGAACAATCCATTAAGACTTCAATAAGCATAGGGAGCTTTCCTCAGGGGCAGGTTAGTACAAGTTCTGAAGATGTTGCCATTATGCCAAATAATATGGTTGGTCATATATCAGAAGTATATAATACTGCATCGCAGCAGGAGGTGGAGAAAGTAGTTCAAGAAGATGTTCAATCAATTCCTAATTCAGATGTAGAACCTGGTGACCAGGGGTCCACTGTGACTTCTGGCAGTAATGAGTTAAGTTTCCGTGATGCAAAAAGCACACAAGATCAAGTTCTCGAAGATTCTCAGTTTGAATCCCCTAATGTATCTGAGAGATCTAGTTCTAGAATCTCAGTCACAACTTCCTCAACTCCTATTGTGGCATTGACTTCATGGCTAGGATCAGTGAGTCACAGTGAATTGAAAGGGCATTTGGCAGACACTCCTTCTATGGAATCTTCTACATCTATTAATGAAATCGAACCTTCTTCTGATCTTAAGTCCGGTTCTCAGGGACAGTTTTCCGCAAACACATTATTTGCACTGAACCCGAAGCTACTTCTTGAAGTGGATGATTCTGGTTATGGTGGTGGGCCATGTTCTGCTGGAGCTACTGCTGTGTTGGATTTTATGGCAGAAGTTCTTTCTGATTTTGTTACTGAACAAATCAAATCAGCTCCTCTCATTGAGACTATTCTGGAAAGTGTCCCTATATATGTTGATGCTGAATCTGTTTTAGTTTTTCAGGGGTTGTGCCTTAGTAGATTGATGAACTTTGTTGAAAGGCAGCTACTGCGTGATGATGAGGAAAATGAGAAAAAGTTAGATAAGAGCCGCTGGTCCTTGAACTTGGATGCTTTATGCTGGATGATAGTCGATCGTGTGTATATGGGGGCTTTTCCTCGGCCTGCTGATGTATTGAAGACTTTGGAATTCCTCTTGTCCGTGTTGCAACTGGCAAACAAGGATGGTCGAATTGAAGAGGCAACTCCCACTGCAAAAGGGCTGTTATCGATTGGTAGAGGAAGCAGGCAGCTTGATGCCTACATACATGCATTGTTCAAGAATATGAACCGAATGATATTGTTCTGTTTCCTTCCCTCATTCTTGATCACTTTAGGAGAAGATGAACTTCTTTCAAGCTTAGGCTTGCAAATGGAGCAGAAAAGATTGTTCCCAAACAGTTTACCTGAAGATAGAACTGTTGATATTTGTACAGTTTTGCAGTTACTAGTTGCTCATAGACGGTTAATATTTTGCCCCAGCAACCTTGACACTGATCTTAATTGCTGCCTCTGTGTTAATCTGATATCACTACTGCGGGACAATAGACAAAATGTACAGAGCATTGCTGTTGATATTCTCAAGTATCTTCTGGTGCATCGTAGGGTTGCATTTGAGGACTTGCTCGTCTCCAAACCTAACCAAGGGCTTCCTCTGGATGTCCTACACGGTGGTTTTGACAAGCTTTTAACTGGAAGTTTATCAGCATTTTATGAGTGGCTCCACCTTTCTGAACAAATTGTCAATAAAGTTATGGAACAGTGTGCTGCAATTATGTGGGTTCAGTATATTGCTGGTTCGTCCAAGTTTCCTGGAGTGAGGATAAAAGGTATGGATGGTCGTCGTAAAAGAGAAATGGGGAGAAAGTCAAGGGACATATCAAAGTTAGACCAAAGACATTGGGATCAGGTAAATGAACGGAGAATTGCACTTGAATTGGTTCGTGATGCAATGGCTACTGAATTAAGAGTTGTCCGACAAGATAAGTACGGTTGGGTGCTCCATGCTGAAAGTGAGTGGCAAGCCCATCTCCAGCAACTTGTACATGAGCGTGGAATCTTTCCAATGCGTAAATCCTCAACAAGTGAGGAGCTGGAATGGCAGCTTTGCCCCATTGAAGGTCCATACAGGATGCGTAAAAAGCTTGAAAGGTGCAAACTAACGATTGATACCATTCAGAATGTTCTGCATGGACAGTTTGAGTTAGAGGACTTAGAACTGTCAAAGGAAAAACCTGAAAATGAACTCAATACTTCTGACGAGTCTGATTTGTTTTTCAATCTTTTAAATGGCAATATAAAAGAGGATTCTTCTGATGGTGAGATGTATGTCGAGTCGAATTTGAAAGAATCAGATGATGTAAAAGATGTTGCTTCTAGTAGAGCTGGATGGCTTGAAGATCGGGACAGCAGTATAAATGAAATGAGTGTTCACTCTGCTGCTGAATTTGGTGTGAAGTCCAGTGCTGCCTCATTTCGAAGAGCAGATAGTGTTCAAGGAAAGTCAGATCTAGGGTCTCCAAGGCAGTCTTCTTCAATGAGAGTTGACGAAGTGAAAGTGGTTGAGGACAAATCTGATAAGGAGTTGAACGATAATGGTGAATACTTGATCAGACCTTATCTGGAACCTTTTGAGAAGATAAAGTACAAGTACAATTGTGAGAGAGTTGTTGGTCTTGATAAGCATGATGGTATCTTTCTCATTGGAGAACTATCTTTATATGTCATTGAGAACTTTTATATTGATGATTCTGGGTGCATATTTCAGAAAGAATCTGAAGATGACCTATCTGTCATTGATCAGGCATTGGGTGTAAAGAAAGATTTTTCTCTCAGCATGGAGTCTCATTCCAAGTCAACTTCCTCCTGGGGTGCAGCAGTAAAGACATATGTTGGTGGAAGGGCATGGGCTTATAATGGGGGTGCTTGGGGAAAGGAAAAGGTGTATAGTAGTGGAAATGTGCCCCATCTATGGCGAATGTGGAAGCTTAATAGTGTTCATGAGATTTTGAAGCGTGATTATCAACTTCGACCTGTTGCTATTGAAATATTTAGCATGGATGGTTGCAATGATCTTCTTGTCTTCCACAAAAAGGAGAGAGAAGACATATTCAGAAATTTAGTTGCCATGAATCTCCCTAGAAACAGCATGTACGTTTTTGCTCCCCAACTTGTCTATTTATGTGTTATTATTTAGTCTTCTATGGGAGAAATATATATTAGCAAAGACGCATACACCCTGCGTAATAGGTATTGATGTTACTCATGGCTAATACTATTTTAGCTTGTAGCCTCAGGATTTCAAGGTACTACAGTTACTCATCTGCTTGAATTATTGATGCTTTGTCATCGGCTTGAGCAAAGATTAGATTGTAGGCTTCTTTTTTTTGGATTTTTGCTTTTATAATGCATATACATCACTAGTGGAGATTTCGTTTGTACTGATCCTAAGGCTGAGATACGATTTGTTTGATTTACTTCTTCTGACTACTCTCAATTGCCTTTCTTTTCCTAACTATGTTTTTTCCTCAAAAATTAATCTTTTTACAGCAATTTTCTGGATTTCCATTTTTACTCGAACTGGTGTTTGGATAGGCTTCATTCAGTTGTGAGATTATGTTATTTCACTGCAGCTGACAGAGTTCCTTTTTGTTTTCTGTGCCCTTAAAAGTTGATACAAGATGCCTAATATTGGTAACTTTGTGAACAGGTTGGACACAACAATCTCAGGTTCAACAAAACAGGAAAGCAATGAAGGCAGTCGCCTTTTTAAGGTTATGGCCAAATCGTTTTCCAAGAGGTGGCAAAATGGAGAAATCAGCAACTTTCAGTATCTAATGCATCTAAACACTTTAGCTGGTCGTGGATATAGTGATTTGACACAATATCCAGTTTTTCCCTGGGTTTTGGCTGATTATGAGAGTGAAGATCTGGACTTGTCAGATCCCAAAACATTCCGCAGGCTTGACAAACCAATGGGGTGTCAAACACCAGAAGGAGAAGAGGAGTTTAGGAAAAGGTTGGCCTTTTAGCTCTCATAAGCTATCTCAATGCCTTCTAGTTTTTCATGGCATTGTCTTGTATATCATTTCTCGAGTCACTTTGATCCAGGATTAAATTTATTATTTATTAATTTTCTTTCTCCATCAGATATGAAAGCTGGGATGATCCCGAAGTTCCCAAATTTCATTATGGTTCTCATTATTCTAGTGCTGGGATTGTGCTCTTTTACCTTATACGCCTGCCACCATTCAGTACTGAGAACCAGAAGCTGCAGGGTGGACAGTTTGATCATGCTGATCGTCTTTTCAATAGTATAAAGGATACATGGTCAAGTGCTGCTGGAAAAGGTAATACATCAGATGTCAAGGAACTGATACCAGAGTTCTTCTATATGCCAGAATTTCTGGAAAACAGATTCAATCTTGACTTGGGTGAGAAACAATCAGGGGAAAAGGTTTGTCTTATTTGTAAAAATTTCCTTCTTCCTATTGCCTTTTTTCTCCACAGGATAACAGCCGTCCTAAGAGCATGTCTTGTTTGCTAGGTTAATGATGTCATATTACCTCCTTGGGCAAAATCCAGTGTAAGAGAGTTCATCAGGAAGCACAGGGGAGCATTGGAGTCTGACTATGTTTCCGAGAATCTGCATCACTGGATAGACCTTATCTTTGGGTACAGGCAGAGAGGAAAGGTGGGCAACTTTGACTTCTGTGTTTCCGTAAATTTTAACTCTTTACAATGTATCTTTGCTTTCTCTTTAACATTTGACATATGATATTCTTGTAGTCATTTAGCATTTGTAACCCGTCTTAACAGCTAGGTTCTAACTGTTGCCTAATCTATGTGAACCATATGCTTGAATCCTCATTTGATTTCTAAGTCAAGTGCCCAGATGGTAGGGCAAGGTTCTGAGCTCTTTTCTCTATTCTGATATCGATGTCTTGTTTCCTAGCTGTTCACTTTTAGCACTATTCTCTCTTTTCATTTAAGCATTGCACAAGAGGTACAAGATGAGAAGTGAAAAATACTGGAATCTTAAGCCCAATTCAATGAAGTTGTCTTCTTTTGTTAGTTCATTGATTTCATGTACTGAAGTCAGTCTACTGCCTTGCTTTATTAGATGCTTGGTGCACGTTCATCCAAGACTTATTTCTACTGCTATAACAGTTTGGTTCTGTATTTCCATTCGATTAAACGGACAAGAGAAAACTGATATCTATTATATTGCTGTTAACAATTCTGTCATGCTAATGATTTATCTTCTTTATTTTATTCACTGTTTTTCTTAGTATACTTAATTTGTCTATTTCTAGCTCAAATTTGTTTCTTGCAATGATAGGCTGCTGAAGCAGCAGTAAATGTCTTCTATCATTATACCTACGAAGGCAGCGTTGATATTGACTCAGTAACAGATCCAGCAATGAAAGCCTCGATTTTAGCACAGATTAATCACTTTGGCCAGACTCCTAAACAACTATTTCTTAAGCCACACCCTAAACGGCGGTCTGACAGAAAATTACCTCCTCATCCACTCAAACACTCTCTGCATCTTGTTCCTCATGAGATACGTAAGAACTCATCCTCTATATCTCAGATAGTAACTTTCAGTGACAAGATTCTTGTGGCTGGGGCAAATACTTTGCTGAAACCCAGAACATATGCCAAATACATTGCCTGGGGTTTTCCTGATCGTAGCTTGAGGTTTATGGGCTATGATCAAGATAGGCTTCTCTCAACTCATGAAAATCTTCATGGAGGCAACCAGATACAGTGCACCAGTGCTAGCCATGATGGCCAGATTCTGGTTACTGGGGGGGATGACGGGTTGCTTTGTGTTTGGCGTGTTGTTAAAGATGGGCCACGTGCTCTAAGGCAACTGCAGTCGGAGCGGACACTTTGTGCTCACACAGCCAAAATAACAAGCCTTCATGTCAGTCAGCCTTACATGATGATTGTGAGCGGGTCAGATGATTGTACTGTTATACTATGGGATCTTAGCTCATTAGTTTTTGTTAGGCAGCTTCCTGAGTTCCCTTCTCCAGTTTCTGCAATATACGTAAATGATTTGACTGGGGAAATTGTGACTGCAGCAGGTGTTACACTTGCTGTTTGGAGCATCAACGGTGACTGCCTTGCAGTTGTCAACACATCACAACTCCCATCTGATTTTATACTATCACTTACAGGGTGTACCTTCTCTGATTGGCTGGAAGCTAACTGGTATGTCTCTGGTCACCAGAGTGGGGCTGTTAAGGTCTGGAAAATGGTTCACTGCTCTGAGGATGTAGTCCCAACCAAAATGACTGGAAACTTGACTGGGGGCTTAAACCTTGGAGATGAAGTGCCTGAGTACAGGTTGGTTCTGCACAAGGTATTGAAGTTTCACAAGCATCCTGTCACTGCTCTTCACCTTACAAGTGATCTAAAGCAGTTACTGAGCGGGGACTCTGGTGGACACTTAGTTTCATGGATGCTGCCAGATGAAAGCTTGAAATCTTCAATTAATCAGGGGTAACGATGAGAATTCAACGATATTTTTTTGGTTGAGGACCACTATGTCCGGCTTTTGATATCTGTCCCTGAACAAGTTCTCTTTCATTTTCGAAAGAAGGGACTTTAGCGCCACCTCAGACTAATAAGACAAGTGCTGGACGAGAACAGAGACTACTGATCTTTGGGATGGGGGAAGTAATCTGTTGGTGCTTATGATACTTCTGAAGCATATAGTCTCCGTTCTTTGCCTAGTGCCTTAAAAGATGAGCATGCGGGAGGCTGGGTGTATCATATGTTGCCTTCTTGGTGGGTTCACGCGGAAGGTGGGTCTTGACTTTTGGATGAGCCAAGGTATCAACTTTCCCGAGGCTGTTGTACATAAGTAGGGTAAATGAGTCAATGAGGTTGTATAGCAGGAGGATTTGTTGTTCAAGATTCAGCTTTTTGTTACCTGGAAAATGAAGTTTTGTGGAGTGTAAGCGGTTCATAGAGTGGGTATTCTTTTTGGCTTAAATTCATTTTCCATGTATGGAGGAGGGGGGGCTATCGTCACCCCCTTTTTGTTTCAAAATATATGATCAAATGTACAATTCTTATACATCGTGTACAAAAATGGAGTGCGGGCCTTAGGTTCCGCCCATTCTGTATTTTAATAGCATGGAATGGAAATGTTTTTCTGTTAAATCGCGATTAGCCGCTTCTTGTCTGCTAAATCATTTCAGTACCCAAAGCAGCTGCGTGTAACAGTTAATAGCTCTAATCGGTGATACTTTAGGGGTTCAAACTACCGTTAACCCATTTTAGTTTCTACGAATCGGTGTCTTTACATCTGTGAGCAAGCTAAGTTCATCCGTTCATTCCCCCGCATAGGATAACTTTCAAGTAATCAGCATTTCTGTCCTTTTTTGTCTTTTTCAATTGGTTCGTCCCTCTATTCTTCTTTCGAGAAATGAAATTTGACTAATTAAACCTAATCCCAGAAGTCAACCCAAAAGTCGGCAACTCTTGGATTGTTCCCAGGGACTTAACTACTCAAATCCCAACCCCCCCAAAGCCGATGTGGGATAGAAACTCCGACAGGGGCCAAGTCCATTGGACCCGCTGTTACTAAGCGGTGAAGACCCCCCACAAGCCCAGAGAAAGACGACACAAGCGGAAGTTTCTTGTCTTATGCTGACGCCGGCAGATTACTGCCATTGTTTTTCTTCTTTCGAGAAACGAAATTTGACTAATTAAACCTAATCCCAGAAGTCAACCCAAAAGCCGACAACTCTTGGATTGCTCCCAGGGACTTAACTACCCAAATCCCAACCCCCCCAAAACCGATGTGGGATAGAAACCATTCGTTTTAGTTTTTCTTTTTGATGTCTTTCCCTTCCTCCTTACTTTGATCTTTGATTATTGATTACAGTATTTGTTCTGATTCAAAAAATAGATTTTGATTAGAATTATCAGCAAAAATAATAAAATGACTTTGTTGATAAATTCAAGTAATTGAACGTAGGAAACTGGATTTATTATCATAAACTAGATTTTTTATGCTAATAAAAATTTGATTTATTTTAATATTTTTACAAAAAAAAAACTACTTATATTGTCCTTCACTCCTTTCATAACAAGAATGTTTTATCACGCTTTTGAAATTGTGAATTCTTTCCTTCTTGCTTGATTATAAACTTGTAATAGTATTTTATTTCATGAGAAAACAAACTTTTAAAAGAGATGTAGTATATTTTATTTCATAGGAAAAAACACTTTTAAAAGAATACTTTGGTTTTCAAAATGAATACAATTCAAGAAAAAAAAGCCAAAAACTGACTTTCCGTTGCCGGGAATCGAACCCGGGTCTCCTGGGTGAAAGCCAGATATCCTAACCGCTGGACGACAACGGACCTTGGTGCTGGTGATGAACATATTTTATATGAAGGTTAGTTACCATTGCAAAGTTCTGATCCTCACATGCCAAATTGCACAAATGACATGCAAATGCAATTGAGCCTGCAGTAATGGCTACTTTGAGCCTGCGATTGAGCCCGCACCTTCCCTTCCCTCCTACCTCTACCATAAATTCCACTTCCAGCAAAACTAACGGGATTCCACCTTTCGTAAAATACCCCGTTAAAACCTTTTCTCTCAGAGAAATATGTCGAGAAGGGAAGCTCAGAGAAGCCTTCAGATCATTTGGCAACGACTTGACAAGCCCAGGCCATTCTTATAAACCTCCAGATGAGGCCTACTCCTTAATTCTTGAGCTTTGTGCAGCCCAAAAAGCATTGTCACAAGGCCAGCAAATTCACGGCCACGTTTTAAAATCAAAGTCCGTTGCTGATGCAGTATTTCTAGATACTAAGCTTGTCTTCATGTATGGGAAATGTGGGTCGTTGTTGGATGCCAGGAAGGTGTTTGATGAAATGCTTGAGTTGAATATTTTTGCTTGGAATGCCATGATTGGTGCTTGTGTTGGAAATGATCGACCTTTGGGAGCGTTGGAATTGTACAAGGAAATGCGGATGTTGGATTTTCCTCTCGATGCACATACTTTTCCTTCTTTATTCAAGGCTTGTGCTGCGGTTGAAGATCTGTGTAGCGGCTGTGAAATTCATGGACTAACGATCAAATTGGGATTTTTGTCCAATGCCTTTGTGGTTAATTCACTTGTGGGCATGTACTCTAAGTGTGATGATATCCCTGCAGCATACCAATTGTTCAGTAGAACGAGCGTGAGAGAGGATGTTGTGGCATGGAATTCTTTGATTTCAGCGTATGCAGCGAGTGGGATGAGTACAGAAGGTTTGGGGTTATTTGAAGAAATGCTATATGCTGGTGTAACTCCTAGCAGTTATACATTTGTGCCTGTTCTTCAGGCCTGTGAAGAGCCTGCACTTGGGAAATTGGGCAGAGGAATTCATGCTATTGTTCTAAAATCAGGTCGTCATCTTGAGACACATGTTGCCAACTCTTTGGTTGTTATGTATGCAAAAAACAATAGTATGGATGAGGCTGCGAGAGTTTTCAGTGAGATGAAGGAAAAAGATAATATTTCATGGAATTCAATGCTGTCAGGTTATGTACAGAATGGATTGTATGAAGATGCTCTCTGTGTTTTTTCTGAGATGAAAATTTTGGTTCAGAAACCCGACCAGATTTCACTGGTAAGTATGCTTGCAGCCTCTGGAAGATTGAGAAATCTGTCGCATGGAATGCAAATTCATGCTTTTTCTTTGAAAAACAAAATGGATAATGATTTGCTGGTTGGAAACACCCTTGTGGACATGTACGCAAAGTGCGGCAGGACAGATTACATGCACTTTGTTTTTGATAGGATGCCTTATAAAGATTCTGTTACTTGGACGACAGCAATTTCTGGTTGTGCTCGGAACAATCTTCCCATGAAGTCTTTGCAACTGTTTCGAGAAATAAACGTGGAAAAGATGGAGGTTGACATGTTAATGATTGGAAGCATTCTCCTTGCTTGTAGTGATTTAAAGTGCCATTCTCTTGTGAAAGAAATTCATGCTTATTTCATGAGAAGAGGCCTATATGATCTAGTCACAGAGAATACGCTTGTTAAAGTTTATGGGGACTGCAAAAACATCAATTATGCTTGTAAGGTTTTCAAACTAATCGAATTTAAGAATGTTGTGTCCTTCACGAGCATGATGTCTTCTTATGTCGATAATGGATTGGCAAGTGAGGCTCTTGAACTAGTACCTCGTATGAAAGAAAACAAAATTGAACTAGATTGTGTTGCAACACTGAGTATCCTGTCTGCTGCTGCAGATTTATCGGCATTGAGGAAAGGAAAAGAGATTCATGGCTTCCTACTCAGGAATGGGTTTATTATTGAAGGTCCTGTCGCCAGCTCTCTTGTGGACATGTATGCTTGCTGTGGGATTGTGGATGACTCATATAAGGTTTTCAGTAGTACCCTGAATAAAGACTTGCCTATATGGACGAGCATGATCAGTGCATACGGAAAGCATGGTTATGGTAAGGTGGCCATTGATTTGTTTAGGAGGTTGGAAAGTGAAAATCTAGTTCCTGATCACATTACTTTCTTAGCTGTTCTTTATGCATGTAGTCATTCCGCTTTGGTGGAAGAGGGCAAAAAAGTTTTTGAATCAATGCAAGAAGAATACAAATTGAAGCCATGGCCAGAACACTACACTTGCATGGTTGATATGCTTGCCCGTGCAAATTACCTAGAAGAAGCATTTCATTTTGTGACGATGATGAAAGCGGAGCCTACAGCCGCTGTTTGGTGTGCTCTCCTCGGTGCTTGCCGTGTTCACTCAAACGAAAAAATTAGAGAAATTGCTGCTAGTAAACTTATGGAACTAGATCCAGTGAATCCGGGAAATTATGTGCTGGTATCCAATGCATATGCTGCGACAGAGAGATGGGAAGATGTGGAGGAAGTGAGATCGAAGATGAAAGGAAAAGAGTTGAAGAAAGATCCTGCATGTAGTTGGATAGAGGTTGGGAATAAGTTCCACGTGTTCGTTGCCCATGATAGATCTCATCCAGAGTCTGACGAGATTAAGCAAAATTTGGATCAGATCACTGAAAAATTGGTAAAAGGAGGAGGATATGTGCCTCAAACTAAATATGTTTTACACAATGTAGAGGAGGAAGAAAAAGTAAAGTTACTAACTGGACATAGTGAACGGCTGGCTATATCATATGGGCTACTCAACACAACATATGGTACCCCGATACGAATCACCAAGAATCTTCGGGTCTGTGGTGATTGCCATAACTTCACCAAGCTAACTTCAAAGTACCTTAAACGAGAAATCATTGTACGGGACGCCAACAGATTTCATCATTTCAGGGACGGAGTTTGTTCTTGTGGAGATTTCTGGTGAGACTCTCTCAAACCACACTGAAGTTATCAGAAATCAGATGATGATGATGAATGTGCTACTGGGTATGATAGCCTGGGCCAGTGTCAAAATCCCGCTCATCCAAGTTCCCATCTGCTGTATTTTTATGTCGGACCGAACTTATTTACATCCCGGTTTCTAAGAACTCAGTCTATGTTTATGATAAGAACACTAGGAAGCGCCGTAGTGTAACTCTGACATTTTCTTCAGAAAAACGAGATAAAAGAAAAACAGAAACCTCTACATTTGTCAATTTCATCCATCAGAAAGATGCTTATATAGCAATGAAAATGGTGGCAGAAATGCAAGAATTAAATATACCTATTTATACAGTTCATGATAACTTCATTTCTAATACTCGGAATTGTGAGTTCTTGCAGTTTCTTCTCAAAACAGTAAGAGGTTTTGGAGGATACACACCACGACGATGCCACCGTTTCATGCTTGGTTATTATTGATGTGGACAGAAATATGTGCACTTGTAGTCATATTCGTCCACGAACTACTAGCATATTAAATATGGGTTTGGACAGAAATATGTGAAATTTCACCTTGTCTGTCCACGAACTCCCGATGCAAAAGGAAGCATTCCGAAAAACACTGCACCTTGTCTGTCCTCCATGATACTACTACAAGTTTAACTCTAGTCTCCCGTAAAAGCGAGTGTGTGTGTGTGTGTTACCGTTTTTTTTTTTCCTGCAACGATAGAATTTTTATAATTTAATATAGCCTAATCTAAGAGAAGGAAAAAGAGGACTTCGAAGATTTTATATAAAACGATCAATTAAAATCGTCACA